GGAGGAGGGCGATAGGTTTGAGGAGGAGGTAGTATTTTAGGGTTCTTTTTGGGGGCATGTTCTTTTTTTTTTTGGTTTGTTCTTTTTTGTTGTTGTTTTGTTGGTGGTTTGCTGGTGATGAATTGTTTTGAGTGGTGTGGGGTGGTTATGTAGATATAGATATAGATGTATGTGATGTATGTATGTATGTAGGGCCAGAGTCTGAAGAAGGAGAATAGTAACCAGCAGAATACCTCACAATTTAACTATCGGAGATTAAACGACAATATCCAGAAACAGGTAATGAAAGTAATTAAAGAAGTAGGTGAAGAGAAGAAAAGAAAATGTGACCTGTACAAGTGACAATTACGTTGCGGTGAGATATTCTTCCATCATTTATATACCAGTCGACTTTACCGCTACAACTCTGTAGTATCCAAGTAGGTAATCAGAATCAATTCCCCTCCGTCTCCTTTCTGTTAGATAACCAAGGTAAAGTATCAAATTAATACCGAAAAAGAATAATAATGATAATAATGACAATGGAGCAAATAAGAAAAAGTTAAAGTATCACAATCACAAACCCCAAACCAAGAGCTCACCACACCAATAACACACAACTAGGGTATCCCTTGTTCCACACGACCAAGCGCTAAAAAAAAAAAGAACACGACAGGGAGCAGTCGTGGAACCAGTGAGTTCTTTGCGTGCCAGACCCTGGTGTGAAATGGCCCACGTTGGGCAGCAGTATGACATACTAGTACAAAGAGCAAGAGCTGAGATGCAGAATCCCTGCAGCTATTATACCTTTCGGATGTAACTGGGTTTAGGTCCTTCCTGGTTCTCTCTTTCTCTCGCCCATTATTTGGATTTCGTGGCTGTTTTTTTTGTTTTTTTTTTTTTTTTTTTTTCCCCACCGCCGATGTTGAAGTAGATCGAGTACATGTCATTGGTCGGACTTGGCGGTTAGGGTTGGGGGCTAGGCTGAATCAGGAAATGGAGAGGAACTCGATCCGTCCGGTGATCAATTATTCCTGGTTTTACATTTTCCTGGCGGGGTGAATGCACGAGGAGGACCTAGGGGGCTGTAACTGCTTATCTGGGGTTAGGTTCATGAATTATAGATCGGGTGGGGGGGAATGGGTGGATGGGCTGCATCCCTGCGCTGGATGCGTCGGGGGGATTTGGAATCTACTACTCCGGGACGACTCTCCTCGGGGAGTACAACCATGTGCTCATATGTGCTGACGCGGGTGCCTGAACCCCTGCAGATGCGGTGTATGTATGTATGTATCTTTTGTATTACGTGCATTGGTTTAGTTACAAGTAGCCATATTATCATCCTGCTATACAACAAGTAGCCGGGCTAGCTCAATCGGTAGAGCGTGAGACTCTTAGTCATCACGGTATCTCAAGGTTGCGGGTTCGACCCCCGCGTTCGGCTTCTCTTTTTGTGTTTTTAGCTTTCAACTTTTTGCTCTTTCTGCTGCCACTCAAAGTAGTTGATAGACAAGACACAGTCTATCTGTCCTTCGCCGATGTCCTAGGCTGTAGCTGCGCGGAAAGGAAAGCGGCATTCAAGGCTTGACTACGCGCAGGAATGGCAATGTGAGATCCGTGAAGAAGGTCACAGATCCGTCTGCACCGGCCGTTGTGACATTTTTCTCGGGTAGGCCGCAGACCGAGGCGAACGACCCGTACTCTTTCCTTTTCTGCGCCACGTACTGGACGTACTGGTCAACCGGGCAGCTGCTTCCGGGTCCCGAGCGGCAGGATGGGATGGCTGTGGACATTAGTGAGACATATTACAAATGAAACCCGGAAAGGAGAAAAGGAAAATGTAGGGTCGTGGTATGACAGGGACAATGCAAAAAAAAATATATATCTTGCGAGGTAGACTCACGGTACACGGCATCGTTGAGCAAGAGCCGGATGTTAGCTGTACTCTCCCTGCCTGATGTGCAAGTGAGACGCTCGAAAGCAATAGTCCCGCGCATCGGATTCACATTGCTGCTAACGTAGATCTATGGTGGAAACATTAGTACACCGCACTATGGTCCAAAAGCAAAGCAGCGTACCCTATCCCGATCCATCTTGTACGAGGTGAGCGGCTTCTGGTCATCAAAAACACCCAGAATAGAAGCGAGTTCATTGATCTGGTTATCATGGGTAAAGGCCACCACCAGCGGGGGCAATTGTAGGGTATCGTTGCCCTTCTCAGCAGTGACGGATCGTCCTTCCTTCAACAGGTTGACCACGCCCTGCAGCACAGGAAGCATAACGGTCATGTTCTTGCCGACACCAGGCCCTGCCATATACCTGTTAATCGTGTTTCTTCCCTGTCCGTGATACACATACCTGTGCCGTAGTAGTATCGCAGATCCTGAGCATATTCATATTCTAGGATCTCTTTCTTAGTGAACACATCACACCAAGGGCTGACCTGGCCGGTGATCTGCGTCTCAAAACCGCACAGGTAAGGGAACAAGGAGACCTGGTCATCCGTGAGAGTGAGATTCCCGGAGAGTTTCTGGTTGAGACGTTTGGTGATGGGAGGAAGATAAATATCCTGCCATTCGGATATTTGGTCTCCTCCACTGGCATCCTTAAAGTTGGGACACTGGTCAGAGGTAGCTAAGGAGTTGCCAACAGCGCTCGAGGCATCTGCATCGACAACGTAGACGTCACCGTAAGAAGCATTGGGGCCCAGATAACCGCGAGCGAAGAGTCTGTTCACCATATTAACCACTATACACGAAGCAGAGCAATTCGCCTACCTTGCGGAATCAATGGTTCGCTGATAGTCATTCGCCCACAGCAAGAAAGGAGTGTTATCCTTGTAGAAAGTCGGATACCGGAATCGCAAATCGGCACCAAGGTTGTATCTATATCATGTCAACGATCAAGCGACCCTTTGGGCGATCTATTGACTTACAGCTCCTTATAGCCAGTAATGGATAACTGACTAATCTCTTGGTCGGGGTGCCTCAGCACTGGACTCCAATCGGAGATGAAGCTCAGCGACCCGGTAGCGCGATAGTCGGCGGATTGGAACTGGATGATATTGTGTCATGATTTAGCAACAGAGACATCCATAGTTGAGAGCATACCTCTTCGTGGAGGTCCTCCCATTCCTGGTAGGCACCGGGGTCAGGGTATCTACTGCCATGACGGACAATGTAAACAGCTTGGTCCACGGAGCATTCGCCGGGGACAGTAGATGCAATCTTGTTGACGTTGGGGCCTGGACTTGTCAGACAACTAGTCTATCCTCGAGGAAATAGGTGTAGAAGAAGCCTACCCGCGAACCACGGAGAATTAGCACCTAAATGCTCCAAAGGTTCGAACGCCTTGGCCGAGGCCGCAGAGCTCAGACCCAGTAACCACAAGGTTCTCAGTGTCACACCCATTGTTCCGTCGGTAGTCACAAATTGGGAGAATAATTGCTAGACTTAACGAGAATACATCGTGAAAGGATCGTTTAAAGCTACCGGTCAGCCTGATTTATATGGCTTGATGATAACCACGCAATTAATTCAGGGGACGGTGTAGAACAAATCAAAGAAGCCATGACCACGCCAGGTCTCCACAGTAGCTCGGTCGCAAATCGATCGAGAAGTATAGCCGATGTCGAAGTCCTGGTCTAAGAGACTAAAGGATTAGAAGGAGGGCGACCTTTCCGCTCAACTGCCGCGGATCAGCCACGTGCATCAACGCTAAGATGAACCGTCGCAAAATTCATATTACTCTCGAGATTCTTCATTTATTTACCAAGCCAAACGAGACATTATTGAGTGATGCGATACCAAGCCGAGCAATCAATCATGAATCAATATGCTGCCTCATGTCTGGAAAATCCACCGAGGGTCTTTATCTCCTTGGAATTCACCTCCTGAATTTCCAATATCACCCATTATCGCTTCTAGCCCTTCTCTTTCCCTGACTTCCGCTTTCCGGATATTCTCGCGCCTTAAAACTTGCCATAGAATGCCTACAACGATAATGTTCGCAACGAGGTATCCCAATGAGAATCCATGGCCGAGATAATAACGGGGACTCGTCTCGGTTCTATAAAGCTGCGTCCCTAGAACAGCCCCAAGGTTTCCAATCGAAATCTGCATGGCGTTGGCAATTGCCCGCTTTGTCTGCCCAGACACGTTATTAGCCGGCCACGAGAGCACAATAGCCACTGCTGGATAGATCCCGGCTGCGGCAAAGATAGTTCCCACATAGGATACCCCCGGCCGGTGATCCGTCAGTAGGATGATATAACCGATACAAGCGAGGGCAGTAGATCCCATGATGAATGGCGCCCGACGACGGGTGCGCTCTGAAAGGACGGCAACGGTAATCGTGAGAACGAATGCTACAGCGTACGGGGGAACGGAGAGAAGTTGGGCTTCAGCGGCTGTGTACCCTAGCTCTTTAATAATAGTAGGCTGCTCCTTGTCAGCAAATCGATCGAACTAGTACTGCTCCATAAGTCCTCACCATAAAAAGAGACAGCGTATACATCGGAAGGGACATTGTATGGAAACCAAGTCCGTATAGCCAGACCTTCGGGTCCTTGAATGCATCCAAGACCCCTGACCAGGTGAACTTCTCGTCCCGCATCGAGTCATTATCGTTCCTCAGGCGAAATTGGATAAATGCTCTTTCTTTTTCTGACAGAAATTCCGCTGTGGAGGGGTAGTTATAGACCCAGAAGTAAGCAATAACAGACATGACGACTGTTGCCAGCCCTTCCTAAGCCAGAGTAAGCTGGTAATAGTTTTAGCGTCGAGAGTTAGTAGGCACATACCAGGATGAAGATCCACCTCCATCCGTTATATCCACCAACACCTCGCATATGTGCGATGCCCTAGGTCATAGTCAGCGTGTTGTATTTTGGGTGTCTTCTACGGAAGACGTACCCAGGCTAGGACTCCACCAAAAGCACCAGCCAACGACGCAGCGCTAAAGAACAATGCTACCCGATAGTGCTGCTCATTCCTCTTATACCACATAGACAAGTAAAACACAACTCCAGGGAAAAGTCCACTTTCTGCAATGCCAAGGGCTATTGTTCGAAGAAAGCCTTCCGGTTGCCGTGGATCAAGAGATCCAGCGAACCGGAAAGACTTCCGACCCATCAGTATTTCTTTTTACTGGTTACTGTGAGCTAGGCGTACCTGTCCGGGAAACCAAGTAACCAGCATAATTCTGCACGACACCAAGAAGAGTAGCAACGATACCCCAGACCAATGTGAGGGTGGGAAGCCAGATCCGCGGCGTGGTTCTTTTCAACACAATGTTGCAGGGAATTTCAAACAGCACGTAACCGATGAAGTAGAGTGTCAAACCCGTTAAGTATTGGTTCCCAGCTATGTGCGTCAATCGCCGTCAGTGAGGCTTTCTTCCAATGGTTCTTATCGGTGGTTCGTACTCATGTTGATATCAGTCGTCAAGCCCTCAAGGCGAGCATTGCCAACTATACGGAAGAATAATTAGAACAAATCCATCTTGCTTCAGTAAAAGGTTTATACCATTGCTACGATCTAAAAATGACAAGAGATACAGTATTGTCAACGGTGGAAGGAGTCTCATATCCAGTTTCCGTAGCAAGGCCTTCTCGTTGATGCCATTATGTTCATCAGCAAGTGTGCTCGCTGTAGGAGAAACAGTCTTTGCTTTTCCGGGTAAGGAAGTAACCTTTACTTCCTTATTGGAATCTGCCATGGTTCAGGGGGCCGTAGTAAACTGAATAGCCGTACTGAAGAAACCGTAGTTAGGGTAGACGCTGAAAGGCTACGAAATCCTAGGCCAGGCAAAGGCTGGTTATTTAAAATAAGCAGAAGGTTTGGGGTACCACATGGCAGACAGCACATCATCGCCCCAGCATTTCACGCGATGAAGGCAGCGAATGACACATAGTCGCAGGGTCAAGACCACTACTTTCACCCGCAGGGGGGTTGATCTTGCAGTGTATAGAAAGCGTAGGCCCACTAATCAGCAAATCATAAATGCCGACAGCCTTGGCACGGCCAGACAGACCTAAACAAAGCGGTGGTCCGAAGAGGTAGCGTAGGCAGCGTTTAGTACTTCACAGGGATGATGGATGAGCAATTGGGGCTCCGCGATGGCGACATTGGAGACAGCCGGAGCTAACAAGGAAAGATCATCCATTGCAGTAAAGCTATACTAGTATACTGGCAAGTTTATGACCCTATGAGATTGTGTAATCGGGTGTGGGGGTTTATGTCCAATAGCTGAGGATCTTTCTGCTTGCTTAAACAGCATTTTGTATTTCAAGATATTGCCGAAGATTATCAGGGCATAGTACAGTAGATCACGCCATCAGCCTGCAGATGAAGTAATCACGAAGTTTATTCCTTCTAGTAACGCATTTTATGTCAATTACCCTAGTGAAAACAGAGTCATTGGAATGGCTCGACTCAATTGATGGACATACACAGTTGATTGACTGATTCAGCAGAGATATTTCTTAATTATTGCGATCCCTGGATATTTTCTGAGAGCAGCAGTCCTAAGTAATAAGAGAAAGAGAGGGGTAAAAGAGAATACTATGGGAGAAGGAAGTCTTATGGGAAAAGACCTGACTATCATAGAAGAGTCAGGATCATAATTCAATTGAGATCCAGAATGAGGTTATCTGAATTAAATCAGTGTATCGTCGTATCCAAGGGTATATGTAATAGTAGTAGTAGTCGTGTCGTGCCTCGCAGGCATATGGGGGTATCAGGTATCCAGGCATCCATGCCACTTTCAGTTTCCGTTTCCGTTTCCGTTCCAGTCCCATACCCCAACCAGATCCAACGCCAGAAGAAAAAAAAAAAAATCCCAGATAATCCATCCCAAAACACCCAAACCAAGAGGAAAGTGTAAAGAAAAGAGAGAAGAAAG